CATGTTTCATAGTGTTTTTTTTTCTTTTGCTTTAAAATTGAAATAAAAAATATATAGTGTTCTGATAAACATAATATTACTACATGTAACATCTTTATGGTCTTGTTTGAGTAGAGCTTATAATTATTTTTTATACCATTAACCGATTATGAGTAATCAATCGGTCGAGACGTCTTGCGGTTAACTGATTGGCAAGTCTGTATTCGATCGCACCCTTAATATACATGTACTCAGTAAACTAAACAAATCAGTGTTACTCTGTAATGCTACTGAAGTACACCTGCACTGTAATGTGAATAAAAGATCATTACATGTCAAAGAAAAAGACAGAAGAAATGAAATAAATATAGTGCATTTGTACAAATATTTCAAACATAGATGAAGTATGCAATATACCTGTTGAAATACATATTAAAACATTAAATATATCGCATAGAGTGGAATTTTTGCGAAATAATTGTTGTTTGCTGTAGTAGGGTTTACTGGCGTCAGGGTCGGAATGGAGAGTTCTTGAAATTGAAGAAAATTCAGGTAAATGATGAAATAAAGAAATTCATATCTCGGAAACCCATCTGTACTCCCCATGTATCCAGTCATTACAAACCTTAAATAAGAATTGTTACCGTAACAATAAACATTAACAATCTTTTGATTGATAGTTTTCATGCGAGAATTTTTCATTCATATGAGACGTCACCAAATATACTGTACCAGTGAAGGTCTTGGAATTCTTTTCATAGTGAATCAAAAAGAGAGACCAGATCGAGTTCAATTTCGACCTGGTCTGCATTTAATGTGCCATAAATTAATATTCAACTTTAAAAAAGAAATATTCACACTTGATTCGAATTTATTATACCAGTTTTTAGCTTCTGTTAACATCAATTATGATTTATTAAATTGGCTATATTTCCTGGGGGGGGGGGGGGGGGTCGGATGAGGTGGTCTAGAAAAAAGTTTTCACTCAAAGTTTAGGTCAGTATTTTAGTATGGCGTAAGTGTGCGTATATATAAATTTCTTGAAGTAAAAAAGAGAAAGAAAAACAGAAGTTCATTGGCCTTTTTGGTCATCTACTCACCTGCAACTCGTTTTAGCCACAATTCGTTTAATTTTCTCTTGTGTGAAAAATAGAGCTCTGATTTTTTTTTTCAGACCACTTCAGTAAGTTAAGTGATCTATTGCTACTCGTTTCGAGTTTTGCGCCGTGCAAAACCTTGAAACATTTTTATCTAAGACTTTTCTGCAATGACCGAGCTAATAAAAAAAAGGGATGCTTTTGTGAAACACTGATGCCCCCGACAAAGGTTAAAATTTCTCAAATGCAGGTCAAACTCCAAGGTCAAGAGATCAAAAATGCTGTTACTCAAAGAAAGGACTTGTGTCAATGAATATACCTGGTAAATATGAAAGCCCAAGCACCAACCATTCAAAAGTTATGGTCAAGGGTTAATGTTTTCTAAAAGTGGGTAAAACTCCTAGCCTAAGGGTAAAAATTAATGATACGCAGGGGAAAACCTTGTAATAAGAAATACACATGCAAAGTATAAAAGGCCTAGTACCAACTGTTCAAAAGTTAAGGCGAAGGTAAAAGTTTTTCAAATGTAGGTCAAACTCCAAGGTCAAGGTAAAAAGGTTAAAATTATTGGTATCCAAAGGAAGGTCTTGTCACAAGCAACATATATATATATATATATATATATATATATATATATATATATATATATATATATATATATATATATATTCAAATATAATATAAAATTTGAAAGCCCTAGTACTAATTCAAAAGTTATGGTCAAGCTTAAAGATTAAAAGTGAATCAAATTCTAAGGTAAAAAATAAAAGGTCAAATATATTTACACCCATGGAAAGGTCTTGTCACGATGAATAAACATGTGAAATATGAAAGCCCTAACACCAACTGTTCAAAAGTTATGGCCAAGGTTAAAGTTGGGTCAATTTTTGCAAAAGTGGGTCAAACTCCAAATCAAGGTTGAGGTCAAATATGTTGATACCCAAAGGAAGGTCTTGTGACAGGGAATACACATGTGAAATATGAAAGCCATAGCTCCAACCAATTTAAAGTTATGGGCAAGGTTAAAGTTTTTGTGGACAAACAGACAGACAGGGCAAATACTAATAATTATACCCCCGAATCTTCGATTATGGGGGCATAATTAATTGTAAATTCTATGAATTCAGAGAGACAAAATTTGTGAATTTCAAATACTATATACCCCCGAATCTTCGATTATTGGGGCATAATTGATTGTAAATTATTTGAATTCAGAGAAACAAAATTTGTGAATTTCAACCCCCACCACCTAGGGCCTGAAGAATGAGCAAAAACTGTCAAAATTGACATTTTGTTCAACAAAAGAATGCCTATTCTCCTGAACAACTGCTTGAAGAGGTTGTTTTCTACTAAAGGGCTCTAAATGATACGAGTCAATTTTGCCCCCCCCCCCCCCCCCCCCCAAGAGTAAACATTTAGAAATGTGATTCAGGTATGTTAATTTTTACTTGGTGATGAGTTTATATTGGAAATATTTTCAATACATTTGTCTCATTTATATGCACTGACTAACTGTAAATAATGTCAGAAATAATGCTAATTTTTCAATCCATTCAATATAAGACAAAAATATGCCTTTTTCTTGACATTTTTCCTTTAGGAAACAGAGCGCAGCTTTTGTCTTGGATAGATATATGAAAATAGTGAAAATATAAAGTTTGTTCAAGTAAGTCTGTGCTCAATAATTTCTGAGAGAAAAAAACTGCTTGAAAATGGACATTTTTATACAACATATGCTAAAATGGTGAACTTCATATATCTAAATTAGTGGCATTTTGATCAAATTGAAAATCATAAACAATGCGTATATAGTTGTACAAGGTGAAACCTATATATATGTCACAGATGTAATGTTTTAGTTTGTACATAAAATTGGCGCGCATTGCCAATCGAACATGTTCGCTGCGTTTGTTTGCGTCGTGTGTCTAGTGTGAATGTTTTGGGAGATCATGTGACATTGTTTATTTTTGTATTTCCACGTGTTTCCGGTTAGGTGACCTAATGTGACCTTACTGCTGACCAATAACTGACTGTTTTTATCTTATTAATATGCATGTTTTAATTTCTGCACCTAGTATATAAGCACAGTACCCACCAATTCTCGACCCCCACACTTTTTGCCTTTACGGTAGAAGACTGTATTTGAAACATATTAAAAATATTCTTTAAAGTATATGGAGTTAATTTAACTGGATTCCTGGTAAGCCTTCTGTTTACCTTTATTATAATAACTATGAAAATGTATTTCATAATTTACTTTTATTAATTAATCCCGACAGAAAACAATCATATAATTTATGTGTTGTTAATGTCTGATGTTAAATGTAAAGTATTCGTCTTGTGTGTGTATTGTGTTGTGAGAGTGTGTTTAATTTATACTTTGTAGGTTTTTTGTTCTAAGCACATTGAATAAATATAGTTTGTGCCGAATCCAGTATCGGATTTTATCCTACAAAGACCCGGTGACATACAGTAAAATCAAGACATTCATTTTAAGAGGCCATTAGAGATGCATCATATATAGTTTGAAATTCATTTCCCCATGTTTACTAGGGGTCAAGTTGGTCCAAACATGAAACTGATGTGTCAGACTCTGTGGTATCTTTTATTTCAAATTCACTGGAATTTATATCGAGTCAACATAAGAATGGAATACAGAGCAGATTGTTTAAAGTGAAAATGCCAACAACAACAAAAAAAAAACATGAATAAGAACTACTAATCTATCATATCATTATCAATGATGTATTTTAATTGTAAATAATTATCAGGTATAGGTTTTCAAAAAGCTTTCTTTCTCATGAGGAGGATAACCATGCATCAAAAAATTCTTTATTTCTCTGGACAACACTGGTGCTTATGATGCAAACACTATATGGGGAAATTTGAATTATAATCGTGACTTTCTTTAACCACGTCTGCAGTGTTGATTTATTAATTTTTTGTAATCTGTTATTAATTTTGCAGTATTTCCATGACTGTAGGTAGTACGAGATGGGCACATTGGTTACTAACTGATAATCAAATGTAATGTCAAATATCTCCTTCAAACGAAATTTTAATTATAATTCCAAAGAAAAGACACAAGATTCCCAAATAACTTTACAAACACCATGAACTGCATTTTGACATCGGCAGTGTTGCAACGACAGCTATCATGTTAGCTACAGATCTGTATAACTAGGAGAAAAATAATATTTATAGATATATTTTAATAAAAGTTGTAGTATGTAGTATTCAAAATATGTTGATTATGTTACATGTCAATTTTTAACTGTATAATATTAGTGAAACAGGTCACAACTTTTCTGGGACAATCCTCGTACATGTAAAAGAGAATGAAGATTTTGAAAAAGTCTTAAAACCATGTTTAATATTTCAATAAATAATGAAGACACATATCTGGATAACACAACAAAGTATCTTTCTTACAGACCTTTTAGTTCAATCTTAAAAATCAATTCCTGAAATATCACCAAAGCAAATACTGTCAATTTATCATTTACATATTTTTATCACAATAGGTTTGAAAAAGTTCTCAAACTACACAGCTCCATTTTTTTTTTTTTACCTGACATTCATTCGTGAACAAATAAAAATGCAATTTTTTAAAGAAATGTTTTGCTACTATACAAAAGACTCAAGCAAAGCATTTGATGAATTTTGCAATTTTATTATAGTTTTAGAAAACTTGATATAATATACTAGTCATATTAAGACTTTTATTCATCCAAAAAATGGTCAACTAATTAAGAACTAATTAAGAACTTAAAAGTAAAATATCAATCCTGAATACAAAAGCTATCATCATATCTCATGTTTGCATCTTTGTTTTAGTAGCAATACATTATTTCCAAAATGTATTTAAATTTATTTAAATATAAATAAAATATAAATATAAATAGCATTTAAATTGTTAGCCAGGCTAAAAAACTTTTTTAGCTGTACAATGCCATAAATTCTTTTTTTAAATTAATCTAATCATATTGTAAAAATCCAAATTACGTATTTTTTCCTTGTTAAAAATATGCATATCTCTAAAACTTGTAGATTCAAAAATATAAAATAATGCATAACACAATTACAATGTTGTTAATCCAGTAATTTACACATATTCTCAGTGTATGCGTAACAATTGACAGCCTCACAAAATTTGCAGTTTTCGAGAAGCTGAACTCTATAAAACACATAAAACATAACAAAAAACATGGAAACAACTAATGGAACTGATATAGCTACCATAATTATTCTGCATACTGCTTTATGTTTCTTAATACTTATATAAGGCAGCAACCCCAGGGCACATAGCATCCCTAGCAAAAGGCCAGTCATTATGGAGAAAATGTTCAGATAAGGTAAAGTCCCTGAGAAAATAAAAACAGCCATCAACACAAGATGTTTGATGAGCTCCAACCATGGTTTCTTAATGATGGACCAGAAGTGGACAAGTTCTACAAATAGCAGGCCTACTACTCCAAAAAGGGCACCTGTTGCTCCAACATGGGGTTGGTAGGGGTTGAACATAACTGCTGCCTGCATAATAGTAAAGAGACACATTTATCAAACAATCATTAAAAGCTTTCATTTATCCTTACAAACTATGAATTGCATTTTGACATCGCACTATTTTGGACTGTATGTACTAAATGTATTTCAAATACTAGTCAAACCTTGGTATCTCGAACTCAATGGGACCGAGAAAAAAACTTCGAGATATCCAAGGATTTGAGATATCCAGGGTAAAATACTTAAAAAATAAGGGGTTGGGACTTCCAAATCACATCAACTTATAATCCATGGTTTTCAAGATATCAGTGTTCCAGATACCAAAGTTCAACTGTACACTGGATGAATGATATATTTCAGTCATGATCTCTGTAATAGCTCTCCAATAATATATCCTTTAGAATTCATACTGCCATTAGGCATATATTTAGATGTTGTGATGTTGTCACCTGGATATAATACAACCCTATTAAGTAATGGATCCACAGAAGAGCAATTATTAGCATCAATTTTAAGGAAGATATGATGCTCCAAAATAAGACAAATAGGGCAATCAAGGATCAACAAAACTGGTGGTATAGTGAACTGCAATGACTCTATGAAGATACATCTTAGACTACAAGTATAAATACAGTATTTTAACAGTGTATGCCAGTGATACATTCTCTGCCATCTGTCACTAGTACCAATCTTTACAATGAAGAGGTGCTTTGGTATATTGTACACATACACCATATACCAAATGACTTCTCCTGGTCTTTAAATAATGTTATACATGTAGTATAAAAGAAAGGGGATTCTTTTGTTTTATGTTTATTTCTTTATCATATACAAGTCTACCTGATTATTAACGAGAGGCCAATAAACCACATCCCTCACCTTGGTAAGAAATAACCAGTTTAAATATACATAAAGTGGTCCCATCCTAACTGATGATTTTTGAACAAACTTGCTTCTATATTACTATGACTAATCATGGCTTTGCTGTTCTTGAGAAGATGCCCCACCCTACCCCAAGGGGTCATGATTTGAACAAACTTGAATCTACATTATATGAGGATGCTTCTGTATTAATATTACTAATCGTGTCTTTGCTGGACATCAGAATATGATTTTTTAAGACATTTTCCTATAATATATATATATATATATATATATGTTTGATTCCCTAATATGGCACCAAAGCTTGGTTAAAATTGGCCCAGTGGATCTGGAGAAGATGAAAATGTAAAAAGTTAATGACAACAACAACCATGATAATGATGTGACAAACAATGGACAAATTTTGATCAGACAAGCTCACTTGAGCCTTTGGCTTACTTTTCTATATTAAACATTAAAGTTTTTTGTAAAATAGACCAATTAAGGTATGTCACTCGTGACATGAGTTACATCAAGGATTTTTTGAGAAGTATATTTTAGATTACTACTCATATAGCATGACTCAAAATCGCAAAGAAAATTGGGGGTCACTGTGCATCTTAATTACTGAGCTACAGTACAATTAATTTGACCTTTTTGTATTTAAATTGTAAATTTACTTAAATTGGTAATCACTTTAGCCTTTTACCAAATGTAATCATGACAATAGATATAATCTTATTTCGTGTATAATAGTTTGAATAATATTTATTATTGAAAAATCCTGCGAATTAATGCATCTAATAAAATTATTATGTGACCTTTTTGCACTAAAAAACATAGGTAATCAGAGATTACAGAGCTCACCTCAACGAATGTTGTCTTTAAGTAAGGCAAAGTCCCACACTAAACTTATAATCTAGGAGTGTGCATCCCTAGATGCAACATTTATGCAATTTTGGTCTGATAGGGCTTGCAGTTACTTGGGAATAGACTTATCTGAAAACTTAAAACTACATGTAGTCACTCATCCAGGAATGTAAGTCAAATCCAGCATCTGAAACAAGTTTTGAGATTGTTCGTCCCTTGATGCATCATCCATGCAAGTTTGGTTCAGATAGCCTTATAGTTACTTGGAAATGAGATCTGCTCCAAAAACTTTAACCTGGTTACTCATCTGGAAAATGTAGGTCAGATCCAGCATTCAAAGCAAGTCCAGTAGTGTGAATCCTTAGATGTATCATCCATGCAAGTTTGGTCAATATAGGGTTTATAGTTACTTGGAAATGACATCTGCTCCAAAAACTTTAACCTGGTCACTCATCCGGAAAATGCTAGTCAAATCCAGCATCCGAAGCAAGTCCAGTAGTGTGCATCCTTAGATGTATCATCCATGCAAGTTTAGTCAATATAGGGCTTATAGTTACTTGGAAATGACATCTGCTCCAAAAACTTTAACCTGGTCACTCATCCCAAAAATTTAGGTCAGATCCAGCATCTGAAGCAAGTCCAGTAGTGTGCATCCTTAGATGTATCATCCATGCAAGTTCAGTCAATATAGGGCTTATAGTTACTTGGAAATGACATCTGCTCCAAAAACTTTAACCTGGTCACTCATCCCAAAAATTTAGGTCAGATCCAGCATCCGAAGCAAGTCCAGTAGTGTGCATCCTTAGATGTATCACCCATGCAAGTTTAGTCAATATAGGGCTTTTAGTTACTTGGAAATGAGATCTGCTCCAAAAACTTTAACCTGGTTATTCATCCGGAAAATATAGGTCAGATCCAGCATCTGAAGCAAGTCCAGTAGTGTGCATCCTTAGATGTATCATCCATGCAAGTTTAGTCAATATAGGGTTTATAGTTATTTGGAAATGACATCTGCTCCAAAAACTTTAACCTGGTCACTCATCCGGAAAATATAGGTCAGATCCAGCATCCGAAGCAAGTCCAGTAGTGTGCATCCTTAGATGTATCATCCATGCAAGTTTGGTCAATATAGGGCTTATAGTTACTTGGAAATGAGACCTGCTCCAAAAACTTTAACATGCTCCAAAAACATTAACCTGGTCATTCTTTAGCTGAAATTGCAGCACCTTGACTGGTACAATAAAACACACTAGAAGCATCCTCCATGCATATCTGACTAATATAGGCCATAGAAGTACTTGAAAAGAAAACTGCTCCAAAAACCTTAACCTGGGATGCCGACGCTGAGAGTATTACATAAGCTCCCCCAACTTCATTGAGGTGAGCTAAAAATCATATTTGGGGTATTAAAATTCTTAATAGGCAATAAAATATTTTTCTATATCAAGCTTTTTATGACTTTAGTGCTGATCGGTTGAAAGTATCATGTAATTTAAACAAGCATTCTGAGAGTATTGCATTAGCAATACTAGTCCCCTACCGGCATGTGTAATCTGGTTCCCGTTAAGAATTGAAAATGCCATAATTCTGTGAAAAATTAATGAGTGGGACGAAATGCAAACTTGATCTATAACTAATCAAGGTAAAGCCACATACCAAAAAATCAGCTCAATATCTACAAGTGTTTAGAAGGAAATTGCGGAAAACACTTAAAAATTGAAAAGGCCGTAATTCCGTCAAAAATCAATGAAGCGGAACGAAATGCAAACTTGTTCTGTAACTCATCAAGATACACTCACATACCAAAAATCAACTCAATATCTGCAAGCGTTAAAGAAAAAAGTGCGGAAAACCAAGTGGGACAGACTGACAGACAGACAGAGGGACAGACAGACAGACAGACAGACGGACGGACAGACAGACAGACAGACGGACAGACAGACGGACGGACAGACTCAGAGGAAACCTATAGTCCCCTCCGGTTTCACCGGTAGGGGACTAATAATGAAAGAAAAAGTTGGGGTCAGTGATGTAATTTTGAAATATATTGGTCAAAATATGCTATTTTCAGGCAAAAAACAATGTAAATTTTATCTCAACCTCCTATATATCTTCATTTTTTGGCAAAGTCTTTTAAGTGAATGTGTAAAAATTGTTTTAAAAATATTAATTGGAACCTATATTTAATATTCCTAGCATATAATAATGAAAAAGATTCTCCGAGTAAAAATATGTAGGGCTAAAGTTGCAAGATAATAAATCAAAAAAATGTGTAGATTTGAAGAATTTTCTTCTACATAACCTTCCACCACAAGAAATAGTCCCCCATAAATTTAGTTTCTTTACAACTTTGTGAGCAGTTTTAAAATTGTGCATAGCTTAATTTGCATTTTTTAAATCCAAATATATTATAAAAAATAATTTTGAAGATAAAGGATTTGATCAAACTTTTCTCAAAAACTGAAGAGTGACATATACCTTAAGGACATTGGCAAGGTTCCTGGTTATTGTATAGAATTTTTCAAGAACTCTTGAGTAGGTTTTATTGTACTAAAGAGGCTATATTCTGGATTGGTTAACCTACCAAGCCAACCTTCTTTTTTTCAGATTTTGTCAAATCAGTAGTTTTGCAATTCTCAATGCATTTCCTATGTAAAATGTTGATAAAAGGGACCTACATAACTTTTCACCATAATATTTCTCCAAAACCCACTTATTTCAAATAGTTTTTGTGTTATATAAATTATTGTATCTTCATTTACTAAGACTTCTAGATATTTTGGCTGAAAATGTATAATAGAAACAAGTCAAGGACATACCAGCACCAATCTTTATTTTTGAGTTACTTCCCTTAAATGTTGCTTCCTTCACACAACTAAGGTACTGATCTCAGTCAGTCTACCTTTCAGCATATGTCACATCTTTGTCCTTCCCAGCATACTGAGCATAACTATGGTAAATGACGACCTGTTGGCTCTTTCTGCCCTGAATACAATGTACAACAAAGCCATTACTACTTTTCTTTCTTGCTGTATAGATGATTCTACCTGCTGAAGGAAGTACACATGCTTTTGTTTACCTCTGTAATATAGTCACTTTATTGGTTTTCACTGCTTAGAGAATTCTACACGGGAGATCACTCTCAATCACTATTTCATAGGTGAAAAACTCACGTAATAAACCTTTTTTCTCTGGAAAACCCTGACTTGCCAATGTCCTTAAATGCAAACTTAACTTTATAGAGATTTATTATCAGGGAATAATCAAGGGAAATGACTTTTCTCAAAGTAAAATAA